AGTCTGTGGGTCTCTGCTGTGTGATGAGTCTGTGGGTCTCTGCTGTGTGATGAGTCTGTGGGTCTCTGCTGTGTGATGAGTCTGTGGGTCTCTGTGTGTGATGAGTCTGTGGGTCTCTGCTGTGTGATGCGTCTGTGGATCTCTGCTGCGAGATGAGTCTATGGGTCTCTGCTGTGTGATGAGTCTGTGGGTCTCTGTGTGTGATGAGTCTATGGGTCTCTGTTGTGTGATGAGTCTATGGGTCTCTGCTGTGTGATGAGTCTATGGGTCTTTGCTGTGTGATGAGTCTATGGGTCTCTGCTGTGTGATGAGTCTATGGGTCTCTGCTGTGTGATGAGTCTGTGGGTCTCTGCTGTGTGATGAGTCTGTGGGTCTCTGCTGTGTGATGAGTCTATGGGTCTCTGCTGTGTGATGAGTCTGTGGGTCTCCGCTGTGTGATGAGTCTGTGGGTCTCTGCTGTGTGATGAGTCTGTGGGTCTCTGTGTGTGATTAGTCTATGGGTCTCTGCTGTGTGATGAGTCTATGGGTCTCTGTTGTGTGATGAGTCTATGGGTCTTTGCTGTGTGATGAGTCTATGGGTCTCTGCTGTGTGATGAGTCTATGGGTCTTTGCTGTGTGATGAGTCTATGGGTCTCTGCTGTGTGATGAGTCTATGGGTCTCTGCTGTGTGATGAGTCTGTGGGTCTCTGCTGTGTGATGAGTATGTGGGTCTCTGCTGTGTGATGAGTCTGTGGGTCTCTGCTGTGTGATGAGTCTATGGGTCTCTGCTGTGTGATGAGTCTATGGGTCTCTGCTGTGTGATGAGTCTGTGGGTCTCTGCTGTGTGATGAGTCTGTGGGTCTCTGCTGTGTGATGAGTCTATGGGTTTATGCTGTGTGAGGAGTCTATGGGTCTCTGTTGTGTGATGAGTCTATGGGTCTCTGTGTGAGTTTAAGGGTCTCTGTGTGAGTCTATGGGTCTCTGTGTGAGTCTATGGGTCTTTGTGGTGAGTCTATGGGTCTCTGTTGTGTGAGTAGTTTATGGGCCTCTGCCGTGTGTCATGCCGTGTCGTCGTCCAGATCAGGAAGGAAATCGCGGAAAACAAAATCAAGATCTACGACTTCCCTGACGCGGAGTACGAGGAGTTGAACAAGATGGCCAAGAAGATCGAGGTTCGGGGCTCACGATGGCGGCGCTCTTGTCGTTGTATTTGCCGACCGTGGCTGGCGATGTTTAATGTCACACGCTCTCCTGCCACCGCTCTCCCATTCACATGTTTCATTGCTTCTACATACTATTAACATTCCCTCCCTTTGTTAATGCTACTCCCTGCACCCTCCCTTGGTGCTGCTGATCCTGCATAATGCACGGGCATAATATGACTTTGAAACCCCCCCGCCCACCTCCTACGCATTCCCATGAATATGCTAAATTCCTCTTGATATGCACATTCTTTTGTCAAGGCGCTCTTCTTCCACCTCCAACCCAGCTTATATATAAGCTCCAAGCTTGGCAGTGTCTCATTCTTCACCTGAAGACGGCTGCTTGCGTTGTTGCCGAAACGTCGCGAGAATTATTTTATTATGTTTTATTTTTATTATTTTATTACTTACCTTCTACGTGACTTTACCGAAAAACCAAGAAGATCTATACACACACACACGTTGACTACGCACCACACCAGGTACTCATTTGCGGCGAGTGCTGTTAGGGTGAGTAGCCCCTGTGGAGGCTGCCACGTGCCCTCCCCCCCATGGCCTTTTTCACAATAAACTGATGATATACGTCATCGCGATGGGAAAGGGTTTGGTGTACCGGGTTCATTTTCTAACCAGGGGTGGAGGTTGGAGGAGGGGCATCACTAGATTTAAAATGAAGCCACTGGGATCTGTAATTAGTTTATTGGCAAAACCGAAGTGTAAAAAAGCAATATTTTTTAGACAATTTTACGCGACGTTTTGCTGGAGATCAACACCCAGAATCATCGGTTGGCAACAAAAACTCCCACCCCAGAGTGACGTTTTGCTAATAAACCCAAATCTGTGAGCAAATTGTCACAGTATGTGACAACTTGATTTTTTACATTTAAACATGTTTATATTTAAACATTGAAATCATACCTACATAGCTCTGAAACCCACTCAACACTAATGATAAACTCCGCTCACACCAAACACACCATGCGTAGATCTTGACTTAAAGTTGTCGTGACTGCAGGAATTCATATTCTATGGGTCTTTAGGTAAAGTCACGTAGATAGAACATTTTATGAAAATAAAGTGAATATTTTTTTAAACACTGACGTAGACTGTAGCCTGGTTATAAAATTTGGTAAGTGTACTGACAGTCTACAGTGTAGACTGTAGCCTGGTTATTAATTTGGGTGAGTGTACTGACAGTCTATAATGTAGACTGTAGCCTGGTTATTAAGCTGGGTGAGTGTACTGGCAGTCTATAATGTAGACTGTAGCCTGGTTATTAAGCTGGGTGAGTGTACTGGCAGTCTATAATGTAGACTGCAGCCTGGTTATTAAGCTGGGTGAGTGTACTGACAGTCTATAATGTAGACTGTAGCCTGGTTATTAAGCTGGGTGAGTGAACTGGCAGCCTATAATGTAGACTGTAGCCTGGTTATTAAGCTGGGTGAGTGTACTGACAGTCTATAATGTAGACTGCAGCCTGGTTATTAAGCTGGGTGAGTGTCTCTATGGGTCTCTATGGGTCTGGGTGTCTCTATGGGTCTCTATGGGTCTGGTTGTCTGTATGGGTCTCTGGGTCTGGGTGTCTCTGTGGGTCTCTATGGGTCTATGGGTCTGGGTGTCTGTGGGTGTCTCTATGGGTCTCTATGGGTCTGGGTGTCTCTGTGGGTCTCTATGGGTCTGGGTGTCTCTATGGGTCTCTGTGGGTCTCTATGGGTCTGGGTGTCTCTGTGGGTCTCTGTGGGTGTCTCTGTAGGTCTCTATGGGTCTGTGGGTCTCTGTGGGTCTGGGTGTCTGTGGGTGTCTCTATGGGTCTCTATGGGTCTCTGGGTCTGTGGGTCTCTGTGGGTCTGGGTGTCTGTGGGTGTCTCTATGGGTCTCTATGGGTCTGGGTGTCTCTATGGGTCTCTATGGGTCTCTATGGGTCTGGGTGTCTCTGTGGGTCTCTATGGGTCTGTGGGACTCTGTGGGTCTCTATGGGTCTGGGTGTCTTTGTGGGTCTCTCTGGGTCTGGGTGTCTCTGTGGGTCTCTATGGGTATCTATGGGTCTGGGTGTCTCTGTGGGTCTCTATGGGTCTCTATGGGTCTGGGTGTCTCTGTGGGTGTCTCTATGGGTCTGGGTGTCTCTGTGGGTCTCTATGGGTCTGGGTGTCTCTGTGGGTCTCTGTGGGTGTCTCTGTAGGTCTCCATGGGTCTGTGGGTCTCTGTGGGTCTGGGTGTCTGTGGGTGTCTCTATGGGTCTCTATGGGTCTCTGGGTCTGTGGGTCTCTGTGGGTCTGGGTGTCTGTGGGTGTCTCTATGGGTCTCTATGGGTCTGGGTGTCTCTATGGGTCTCTATGGGTCTCTATGGGTCTGGGTGTCTCTGTGGGTCTCTATGGGTCTGTGGGACTCTGTGGGTCTCTATGGGTCTGGGTGTCTTTGTGGGTCTCTCTGGGTCTGGGTGTCTCTGTGGGTCTCTATGGGTATCTATGGGTCTGGGTGTCTCTGTGGGTCTCTATGGGTCTCTATGGGTCTGGGTGTCTCTGTGGGTCTCTATGGGTCTCTATGGGTCTCTATTGGTCTGGGTGTCTCTGTGGGTGTCTCTATGGGTCTGGGTGTCTCTGTGGGTCTCTATGGGTCTGGGTGTCTCTGTGGGTCTCTGTGGGTGTCTCTGTGGGTCTCTATGGGTCTGGGTGTCTCTGTAGGTGTCTCTATGGGTCTGGGTGTCTTAAACAAGTCTTAAAGTCACTTTATTGTCAAGTGTGTTACATGCATGACATACAACACAGATGAAATTACAGTCCTCTCTCTTGGTCCCACGGTGCAACCAAGCAATTAAAAAATTAATCACAATTAACAGACATAAATAAACAATAAACAATCGGCGATCAACACAAGATAAATAATCAAAAATGTAATAGACTTAAAATAAACAACAGTCAAGAATTTTTAAAATGTAAAATATTATTTAAATAAAGTATTTAAAGAAATAAGATATTTAAACCAGTGTGATAGTGCGATGTAGTGCAATGTGCAGTCCAGAGATCAGGATGTACGAGTGAATATGTGTTTGGGGGTTCGGGTCAGGGGGCAAAGTGGGGTGGATGGGCAGAGGGGGGGAGTGATGGTAGAGCAGGGAGGGAGTTGAGTCTCCTGACAGCCTGGTGAAAGAAACTGTCTTTGAGCCTGCTGGTCCTGGCTGGAAGACTCCGCAGTCTCCTCCCTGACGGCAGCAGGCTGAAGAGGCTGTGAGATGGGTGGGTGGGATCACCTGCAATCTTGATTGCTTTGCTGGTGATGCGGGTATTATAAATGTCCAGAAGAGGGGGGAGAGAGACACCAATGATCCTCTCAGCTGCTCTCACTATGCGCTGCAGAGTCTTGCGGCAGGACACTGTGCAGGTGCCGTACCACACGGTGATGCAGCTCGTCAAGATGCTCTCAACAGTGCCTCTGTAGAAGGTGTGCATGATGGGGGGCGGGGCTCCTGCTCTTCTCAGTTTGCGGAGAAAATACAGGCGCTGTTGGGCTTTTTTGGCCAGTGATGCAGTGTTGTGGCTCCACGACAGGTCTTCAGAGATGTGCACACCCAGGAACTTGGTGCATCTCACCCTCTCCACTGCAGCACCGTTGATGGTTAGCGGAGTATGCTGGGTGTGCACTCTCCTGAAGTGGTGATGGTGATGGGTGGTGATTGTGATGATGGTGATGGTGGTGATGGTGGTGGTGGTGGTGATGGTGGTGGTGGTGATGATGTTGTTGTTTGTTGTTGATGTTGTTGTTGTTGATGTTGTTGTTGATGTTGTTGTTGATGTTGTTGATGATGTTGTTGTTGCAAGCGGATATCAGCTACGAGAAGCCGCTGTCACCTGTGCAGGTGGCAGCGCTCAGGGCGGAGAGAATCGCAAAGGAGACGAAGGTGGGGGGGGAGGGTGGGGGGGGGGTGGGGGGTGAGGGTGGGGTGGGGGAGGGGAGGGGTTGGGGGTGAGTAAGTGGGGTGGGGGGGAGGGTGGGGGGGGGGGTGGGGGTGGTTGAGTGGGTGGGGTGAGTGGGTGAGTGGGGTGGGGTGAGTGGGTGGGGGGGGTTGGGTGAGTGGGTGGGGGGTGGGGTGAGTGGGTGGGGGGTGGGGTGAGTGGTGGGGGTGTGGTTAGTGAGTGGGTGGGGGGTGGTGGTGGGGGGGTGGGGGTGTGAGTGGATCAGTGAGTGAGTTAGTGGGTGAGTTAGTGGGTGAGTTAGTGGGTGAGTGTGGGTGATGTGGGTGAGTTAGTGTGGGTGAGTGTGGGTGAGTTAGTGGTGGTGAGTGAGTCATGCGTTATGTGGTTAGTGAGTGGGAGGTGTTGTGGGTGAGTTACCGCATTCACCACAATCTCTCTCACTACTTTGTGGTGAACATGCAAACACCACGGCTCTGATAATAACAATCACAATGTAACAATAGAGAATGCATTGTCTTTAATAACAGTGTGACTATAACAATAGGATTCTCAGAGAGAGAGAGTGGTGTGTGTACACATTCTTAGACCATCACCCCCTCCCTCCCCCCCCCCCTCCCTCCCCCACCCCCTCCCTCCCCCACCCCCCTCCCTCCCTACCCCCTCCCTCCCCCCCCCCCTCCCTCCCCACCCCTCCCTCCCCCCCCCCTCCCCCCCTCCTCCCCACCCCCCCCCCTCCCTCCCCTACCCCCTCCCTCCCCCACCCCCCTCACTCCCCTACCCCCTCTCTCCCTCTCCCTCCCCCCCACCTCCCTCCCCCACCCCATCTCCTCTCCCCACCCCCTCCCTCCCCCACCCCTCCCTCCCTCCCCCACCAACCTCCCTCCCCCACCCACACCCTCTCTCCCCCACCCCCCTCCCTCCACTCCCTCCCTTCCCTCCACACCCCTCCCTCCCCCACTCCCCTCCACTCCCCTCTCCTCCCTCCCCTCTCCTCCCTCCCCCTCCTCCCCCCCCTCCCTCCCCCAGGCTCTGGCTGAGCAGCAGCAGCAGCAGCTGGCGGCAGCGGCGGTGTCAGCTGTAGCTGGAACTCACCACCCACTCACCCTGGTGAGTCTAGCAGGGGTGAGGGCATGTGGGGAGATGCATTGTGGGTGTGTGTCTGTGGGTCTCTGTGGGTGGGTCTCTGTGGGTGTCTGTGGGTCTGGGTGTCTGTGGGTGTCTGTGGGTTTCTGTGGGTCTATATGGGTCTCTATGGGTTTATGTGTGTGTCTGTGGGTGTCTGTGGGTCTTTATGGGTCTCTATGGGTCTGTGTGTGTCTGTGTGTGTCTGTGGGTGTCTGTGTGTGTCTGTGTGTTTGTCTGTGTGTGTCTGTGTGTGTCTGTGTATGTTGTGTGTGTCTGTGGGTGTCTGTGTGTGTCTGTGTGTGTCTGTGGGTGTCTGTGTGTGTGTGTGTCTGTGTGTGTGTCTGTGTGTGTGTGTGTGTGTGTCTGTGTCTGTGTGTGTGTGTCTGTGTGTGTCTGTGTGTGTGTGTGTCTGTGGGTCTCTGTGGGTGTGTCTGTGTGGTGTGTCTGTGGGTGTCTGTGTGTGTCTGTGGGTGTCTGTGTGTGTCTGTGTGTTTGTCTGTGTGTGTCTGTGTATGTCTGTGTGTGTCTGTGGGTGTCTGTGGGTGTCTGTGTGTGTCTGTGGGTGTCTGTGTGTGTCTGTGTGTGTGTGTGTCTGTGTGTGTGTCTGTGTGTGTGTGTGTCTGTGTGTTGTCTGTGTGTGTGTGTGTCTGTGTGTGTCTGTGTGTGTGTGTGTCTGTGGGTCTCTGTGGGTGTGTCTGTGTGTGTCTGTGGGTATCTGTGTGTCTGTGTGTGTGTCTGTGGGTGTGTGTGTCTGTGTGTGTGTCTGTGTGTGTGTCTCTGTGTGTGTGTGTGTCTGTGTGTGTGTCTGTGTGTGTGTGTCCTGTGTGTGTCTGTGTGTGTGTGTGTCTGTGGGTCTCTGTGGGTGTGTCTGTGTGTGTTCTGTGGGTGTCTGTGTGTCTGTGTGTGTGTCTGGGTGTGTGTGTGTCTGTGTGTGTGTGTGTCTGTGTGTGTCTGTGTGTGGGTGTGTCTGTGGGTCTCTGTGGGTGTGTCTGTGTGTGTCTGTGGGTGTCTGGGTGTCTGTGTGTGTCTGTGGGTGTCTGTGTGTGTCTGTGTGTTTGTCTGTGTGTGTCTGTGTATGTCTGTGTGTGTCTGTGGGTGTCTGTGGGTGTCTGTGTGTGTCTGTGGGTGTCTGTGTGTGTGTCTGTGTGTGTCTGTGTGTGTGTCTGTGTGTGTGTCTGTGTGTTTGTCTGTGTGTGTGTGTGTCTGTGTGTGTGTGTGTGTGTCTGTGGGGTCTCTGTGGGTGTGTCTGTGTGTGTCTGTGGGTATCTGTGTGTGTGTCTGTGGGTGTGTGTGTGTGTCTGTGTGTGTGTCTGTGTGTGTGTCTGTGTGTGTGTGTGTGTCTGTGTGTGTGTCTGTGTGTCTGTGTGTGTCTGTGTGTACGTGTGTGTACGTGTGTGTGTCTGTATGTGTGTCAGTGTGTACACGTGTGTGTCTGTGTGTGTGTGTGTACGTGTGTGTGTGTGTCTGTGTGTGTGTCAGTGTGTGTGTGTGTTTACCTGTGTGTGTTCGTGTGTGTACGTGTGTGTGTACCTGTATGTGTGTGTGTCAGTGTGTGTGTGTCAGTGTGTGTGTCTGTACGTGTGTGTGTACGTGTATGTCTGTCTGTGTGTACGTGTGTGTGTCTGTGTGTCTGTCTGTGTGTCAGTGTGTGTGTGTGTGTCTGTGTGTCTGTGTGTACCTGTGTGTCTGTGTGTACCTGTGTGTCAGTGTGTGTGTACTTGTGTGTCTGTGTGTGTGTACTTGTGTGTGTGTACCTGTGTGTCTGTGTGTGTGTACCTGTGTGTCTGTGTGTACGTGTGTGTACCTGTGCGTGTGTCTGTGTGTACGTGTGTAAGTGTGTGTCTGTGTGTGGACGTGTGTGTTTGTGTACGTGTGTGTGTGTGTCTGTGTGTGTGTGTCTGTGTGTGTACGTGTCTGTGTGTGTACGTGTCTGTGTGTACGTGCCTGTGTGTACGTGTATGTGTACATGTGTGTGTCTGTGTGTGTGTGTACCTGTGTGTGTGTCTGTGTTTGTGTGTGTGTGTGTGTCTGTGCCCTGGTGGTCCCCCTCTTTAAGAAGGGGGACCGCACAGACAGTAACAACTACAGGGGCATCTCACTCCTCAGTGTGCCAGAAAAGGTCCTGGCAAGGATTATTCAACATCCCTTTGCTAGGCACGCTGAGGAGAGGCTTGCGGAGCCCCAATGCGGTTTCAGGAAAGGGCGGTCCTGTACAGATGCCATATTTTCTGTCTGTCTGCTACAGCAGAGGTGTAGGGAATTCCAACAAGACCTACATCTCTGATTTATTGACCTGGTCAAGGCCTATGACACCATCAGTAGGCCTGGGCTCTGGGTTGTTCTTCGTGCTTTCGGAGTCCCTGACCCTCTGCTCACGATCATTAAGGACCTTCATGATGGTGAGCGGGCCCAGGTAAAACTACATGGCCGGGGGGAATTTCCATCTGGTACAGATATAATGGGAGGCTGATCGATGCCCGGGTGCGATCAAGGGATAGCTCCCTATTGGTCAACCACGTTATGTATGCCGATGATTTGGTAATAGCTGCTCATTCAGAAGAGGAGTTAGAGACGCTGCTGCTGAGACTGGAGCGTGCCACTAAGAGGTGGGGCCTTACCATCAGCCCCACCAAAACTAAGCACCTGCCTGGGTATTTTGTACCATCAGACACTCCACCCACACAACTCCCAATCGGTGATGGGGCAGTTGTGGAGAAAGTGTAGAGTTACCCATACCTGGGCAGTGTGCTTATGACCGGCTCCAGTTTAACAGCAGAGGTCTCACTCCGAATCAGTCGAGTGGCAATATCTTTTCATCAGTTTCGTAACGCTGTGTGGAAGCTACCTCGTCTGTCGCTCCGCACGAAGCTTCAGTTCTTCTCGGCCACGGTCATTCCCTCCCTTCTCTACGCTTGCGAAACGTGGACCCCCCTAATGGAGCATCTTTGCCAGTTAGAAACATTTAGGCTGGCATGCCTAGGATCCATCCTGGGTTTAACCAGGCTGGATTGTGTGAGGAGCTCACAAATCCTTGGGCAAAGTCCCATCGGTGAGCTCCTCCGGCAGGTAAGGCTGCATTGGCTTGGTCATGTAGCCCGCATGCCCAGCCACCGCATGCCGAAACAGCTTATGTTCAGCCGGATCGAGGGGACTAAATGGGCGCGACATGGGCTAGAGAAGAGATGGAGTGATGTGGTACAGGAGGACGTGGAGCTGAGTGGACTTGCCGATGACTGGTACCAGCGGTGTCAAGATCGGCCTCTGTGGAGGAGGCTCGTGAAGGACGCTACTGGGCAGTTGGAGGCAGTCGCCCTCCAACAACAACGGAGGGCGGAGGAGCGACGCTCATAACAATGAGCGGAGCGCCGGGTGGCTAAAGCACAGCAAGTTGGCACAGTAGGGGGCACAGGTGGTGCATCAGCCAGTCATCTCGGTCATCTCAGTCAGTCGACCCGTGGCACCTGGGTCTGCTCCGTGACCTCCTGCCAGCGGGCGTTCGACACTTCACGTGATCTCAAGGTGCACATGGCCTGGCACAAGCATCGTGGTGATGTGACCGCAACTTAATGGCGGATGGCGGTTGTTGTTGTATAGTGTTGCCAGGTGAGTAGCAGTGTAGTGTATAGTGTTGCCAGGTATGTGGTAGTGTAGTGTATAGTGTAGTGTGTAGTGTATAGTGTAGTGTATTTGTTTACAGCTATGAGAGTGGTTCCGTCAGCTTCCCAACCGCTATGTATATAGATGTTGTGTATAGTTTATAGTGTAGTGTATAGTGTAGTGTAATGTGTTCACAGCAATGTATATAGATGTGTGTGTGTGTTCACAGCTATCTATATAGATGTGTGTATAGTGTAGTGTATAGTGTAGTGTGTTCACAGCAATGTATATAGATGTGTGTGTGTGTGTGACGTAGGTCCGCGGAGGGCAAACAGGCGGCCCACACGATGCTGCAGGCTTCCCGGGTGAAGGTGGCGGTGGCCCGGGGCAGTCGCCGAGCGTCGCTGGCGCCCCCGGGTTACCACTCGCTGGCGGGAGCCTCCTCTGACGGGAACGGCACCGGGTGAGTTTCGCGAGGAACGCTCACACCGCTCCTCATACATTACGGCTTTGACTATTATTATTCATAATCAAGGTTTTTGGGTTTAGATCGAATTATCCACTATACACTACACACTATACACTACACACTATACACTACACTATACACTACACTATACACTACACTACACACTATTCACTACACTATACACTACACTATACACTACACTACACACTATACACTACACACTACACTACACTATACACTGCACTATACACTACACACTATACACTACACACTATACACTACACACTATACACTACACACTATACACTACACACTATACACTACACACTATACACTACACTATACACTACACACTATACACTACACACTATACACTACACACTACACACTATGCACTACACACTATACACTACACACTATGCACTATACACTACACACTATACACTACACACTATACACTACACACTATACACTATACTACACTATACACTACACACTATATACTACACTATACACTACACACTATACACTACACACTATACACTACACTATACACTGCACTATACATTATACACGCAATATAACCCATACAAATCCTCTATCATGGAGCGTGTATATTTATTGTTGTTAATGAAAACACTCCTCTTGAAATTCGACTCGTTTCTAGGGTGGCAGATCCCGGCGAGCCGGACCCCCCACGGCAGTTCCCGCAGCAGCGATGTCGCCGCGGGAATTGCGTCAGCTCCGTGACGAGTTGCGGGAACTTCAGACGGAGCTGAGGGCGACGCCGAGGCCCCACCAGGAGCCCCCCGAGCAGAGCGCCGGCGGCGGCACCGGCCGCACGGCTTGGGTTTAGCGCGAGCGAGTGTCACCGTCGCGGCGACCGTCTGTGCTCTTTGTGAAGATTCGAGCGGCGGAGCGCGGGCACCCCGCTCACGCGGCGCACGCGACGGTGTGGGGGGCACGTCGGCACCCAGCCTCGTAGCTCGGGGGATTCGGCTCTGCTGGGTTTGTAACCCCCAGAGTACTGAGAGCAGAGGTCGCAAACGGGGTTTGATTCCTTACCCGATACCCGTACCCGGCCGGGTATCGGGTAGGGTACGGGTACCCGATTGCGACCTCTGGGATGAAGCCACGTTGCAGGCGCGGGTGGGTTGATTCTAGGAACTTGAATTGTGAGAAGAGACAAGTCGTTGGGAAATGAGTGACAAACGGTGACTCACCAGTGACTCACGGTCTACCCGTACCCGTACCCGGCCGCACCAGGGTCGCAAACGGCTACCCGTGCCCGGCCGGGTACGGGTAGCCGGGTATCGGGTAGGGTACGGCAATCGGGTACCCGGTTGCGACCTCTGATTGAGAGTCCAATCTCCTTAAAACGCGTTTTTTGTGGCATCGTGGCTTTCGCATTGGGCCAACGTATAAATGCACGAATCGGGGGAGATTTTGATTTAAAGAAACCCACATTTTTTTGTTTCTTTAGCTAACTTCTTAATTTGCGTGAGTTTCTGTTTTCATTTTTTCGTTAAATTTCCTCACTCCATCGGTGGATCGGAGGGCCTGAGTTTAGCGGGCGCACGTCGTTATTATACCATAACAGCCGGCTCCCATTTATATTGACAAAACAAACGGCATTTAAGATTTTGGCTATGCGGTTTGTGAACAGCTGTGGCCAAATCTGAACATCAGGTGACACGGTGTTGTATATATTGTTTTTCTGAAAAGTATAAAATGAAATTGGGAAATCATGTTTAGATATCTCGCGGATAAGAAGAGTCACGCGGTATTCTCATCCTCTTATTGGCGAGGTTATCTGTCATTTTGCTCCTTTTAGCTGGAAGGTAAAGATTCGCAGATGGCCCCACAGATAATAAGATCAGCAGCTCTGTTGGTGTTCCCCCGTGTCACAGCGGATCACAGCAGTTCTGCATGAATTTTGCGCAGTGTTTGAAAGCTATCATTCAACCATTATGCACCAGATGTACACAAAAAACTGCGTTTAAACGATCTCCCTTGTACAGATAAAAAAAACATCCGCCCACAACATCCCATTACCACACATCAACGCACATGCAGTCGGTTCTCATCAGGGGCACGCCAAGACTGGGAGGCAGCAAGTTTTAATCTCTCACACAACCAACACTATTCAACGTTCCCAGGTGAACCAAGCACATTGCGAGCGACTGCGCTCATCGCGGGCTAACCACGTAAGGTGGTGGCCGCCGGCCCTAACCACCTCGCCGCTTGAGCGGAACCCCTTCGCTACGGTGGGACGAGAACAGGCGACGCGTACGGAGGCTGAAAAGCGAAGATGGAAGTGGACGACTTCTTTCCCGCGGTTGAAGAACCACGGGGGGACTCCGCACCCCCCCCCCTCCCCCCCGTCAGTCACACTCTGGGTCCACATCACGTGGCCATCCCCTTCTGGGCCACGTGCTCCGTCACATCTGGAATGTGCCCTCTAGTGAGCCTTTGTGTATAGTACACCCACTGTCGCCATAGAACAGCCCATTTATACTACAGGTGCAGTGCCATGAGAGGGGCTACTGTGCCAGCCCAAGAGGGGAGGGGCTGCTGGGGCTCTGGGACCCTAGGCAGAGAAGCCCTTTGGCGCCAGGCGCTAGGATCCAGGCACCCCAGACGCTTAAGCCCCTTGGTGCCACCAACAGGGGGGCTGTGTGTGCTCTGTGGGATACCTGGGGGCGCACACAGCCCCACCCCTCGTTGGGCACGAGGCATAAAAGGGCAGCTCCCTGGCCGATCAGGGCCAGTCGCAGCACAAGACCCGCCAGCCAGCCAGCTTAGGACCCTGGACCCCCTTGTCCCGCTTGTCCTTGTAAGGGCGAGTTCCGAGGAAGCCAGAGTCCAGACCCGCACCTTGGCTGGGTCGGGTCAATTAGCCTCCCCTAGGGTAATTGTTCCCATAGCCACCGGTCGAACGACATCAACATCTTTAACAACAAAATCAACATCCTCAACAACATCATCAAAATCAATAACAACATCATAAACATCAACGACAAAATCAACAACAGCACCATCGACATCTTCATCAACATCAACAAGCGAAGTTAAGAAGAGCATATTCTTTGGGGTCTGTCGGCAACATCACGTGTGTAGGTTCAAAGCAAATAACAAAACACGCGACGTTTCCATCGCAACACTGATGACGACCGCTTGTGTTGCCATCGAAACGTCGTAGTTTTTGTTATTTTCTTGAACCTACCCACGCCACCTGACCGACAGACCCATAAATCCCTGCAAGGCACGAAAGCTTCAAGTCAAGATTCAAGAGGAGAACGCCAGCGTCCGCCGAGCGGACTGCTACTACCGCCACTACCCCTACTACTACTACTGCTTCTGCTACTGCTGCTTCTGCTACTACAGCTGCGACTGGCGCCACTGCTGCCACAGCTGCCACTGCTGGCACAGCTGCCACTGGTGCCACAGCGAGTGCACGTGCTGCTGCTGCTGCCGGCGCCGCTGCTGCTGCTCGTGGCATCTCGGTGACAAGAAGTGCTCCTTGTCCCAGCCGCCACACTTCTTGTAGCTGGCGCGGAGGTCGTGGTGAGCCCAGAGAACGGTGAGCAAAGCCCTCGCTGCAAAGAGGTCCTGGCTGCACGCCGTCCTGACACAGCACCAACACACGCACAAAGACAAAGATCCCCCGTGTAGCCTGTAACAGACTTTAGGGGCGAGTGCTGTTAGCGAGCACCTGTGAAGGCCGGAACGGCACACGAGGGGGTGGGAGGCTGAGTCGACCTAGACACACACAGATACACAAAGACACAAAGACAAAGATCTTTGTTCTTTGGTTTTTTCGGTAAAGTCACGTATAAAAATAAAATTATAAATTAAATAATAGCATACGACGTTTCGATTGCAACACAAGCAATCATCATCAGGTATAATGAAATAGCGACATAGAATATAACCAGAAAACTATAGACAGACATATAAGCAGACAGATATCACCAAGATACATAGAGAGAGCAACCCAGGTACAGAGAGAGGTGATCGTCTCTGTGGGGTGGCCTTAAATAGACAGAGGGGGGCGGAGGCAGAGAGAGGGAGGGGGTAGGGAAAACATTTACATGTCAATGAGTACGAAGGGAGGGGAGTAAGGTAAGCAGGCTTAGAGGGAGACAGAACACACTAAATTAAATAACCTAGCAAAGTATCGAAATGTTCAGTAAAACGACACAGAGAGTCGGTCAACACACAATTAACGCATTGCCTGGTCGATTACGTATTTCAAAGATTGCTAAGTTAGAATTTAAGTGTGAAAATTCCAAAGAAAGACAAAACATAAAAAAAGAGGAACGGAGACACACAGACAGAGCAGAACCTAAGAACGATACAAAACGAGTGTAGACAGAGAAAATTACACTAAATATACAGGCAGAGAGAGAGAACAAGAAACCCAGAGAGAGAGAAAAAGGTAAACTTGGAAACTTCCCCGTAGAAGTGGTTCAATCTTAATTTTGGAGCTTTCGTGACTGCAGGAATTATTCTTTGGTTTTTTTTTTCACACTTAAATTCTAACTTAGCATCTTTGAAATACGTAATCGACCAGGCAATGCGTTAATTGTGTGTTGACCGACTCTCTGTGTCGTTTTACTGAACATTTCGATACTTTGCTAGGTTATTTAATTTAGTGTGTTCTGTCTCCCTCTAAGCCTGCTTACCTTACTCCCCTCCCTTCGTACTCATTGACATGTAAATGTTTTCCCTACCCCCCTCCCTCTCTCTGCCTCCGCCCCCCTCTGTCTATTTAAGGCCACCCCACAGAGACGATCACCTCTCTCTGTACCTGGGTTGCTCTCTCTATGTATCTTGGTGATATCTGTCTGCTTATATGTCTGTCTATAGTTTTCTGGTTATATTCTATGTCGCTATTTCATTATACCTGATGATGATTGCTTGTGTTGCAATCGAAACGTCGTATGCTATTTTTTAATTTATTATTTTATTTTTATACGTGACTTTACCGAAAAAACCAAAGAATAATTCCTGCAGTCACGAAAGCTCCAAAATTAAAATTCTCACGACGTTTCGGCTACAACGCAAGCAGCCGTCTTCAGGTGCGTTGTAGCCGAAACGTCGTGAGAATTATTTTATTATGTTTTATTTTTATAATTTTATTACTTCCCTTCTACGTGACTTTACCGAAAAAACCAAGAAGATGTATAGTTACAGGTCACATTATAACAAAAACAAGTAAGATGGCTAGTATTTAATTTTACTGAATATTTATTTTTCATATTACTGTCAACGGATAATGGCGACACAACAAACTATTTACGTGACAGTATTGGAAAGCTCTATCATATCACGGCCCTCACACAACTTCCGAGCTTATCTGGAGCACCGATAGTGATGTAATTGTAAAGCAACGATGAAAGCACATTCGCCCTGTGGTATAACTGGGAAAAGATAACTATGGATTTCCATTTTCTGAAAAATTCCATGTCACTTTTTATACATTTACACAATTCACCAAAAACAAACACACTTGAGGTGTTCTACAGTATTTCAATTAAGTGTAGGGAAAGGGGGGGAGTAAGGGGACTGCACTTTGCGCCTGGTCACCCGAGTTTGATTCCTAGTTAGAGATAACGCTAGTGGCGTGTGATATCTAAACCGGTCCTGCACTGACCAACTTGGTGAAGTATGGTCAACCACCCCTGTGATTCTAATTTGATTTGAAATAGGCAGTTTAAGAAAACAAAATTTAGCAAATACTCTCTCTCGCTCTGTGTGTCTGAGGATGTAAGTTTGTTTTCTCTCTCCCTGTGTGTCTCTGTCAAATTTCACACTTAACTTCAAATTTAGCAATCTTTGGAGATCGTAATCAACCAGGCTATGCGTTAACTTTGTATTAGCCGACTCTCTGTGCTGCATTGTATTTCCAAAAATATATATTTTTTCTCTCTCTTTTAAATTGCCTATTTCTCTCTCTAAAATTTACCAGGCTCTCATAGGTCCATTCGCTCTTTCTCTCCCTCGGTCGCTTCGGGGTGGATTTCTCTAAAATATACCAGTCTTACTGTACCAGTCTTGTTGGGTCTTTCATTGACATACTAATTTCTCTGCTCCAGCAGCTGCTCCAGCAGACCCACCTCTCTCTTTCTCTGCCCCCCCCTCTCTCTATATTTAAGGCCTCGACACATAGGCATTGGGTCTCTGTGTGTCTATGTTGTGTCTCTCTCTGTGTTGTCTCTCTCTGCTTGTGTGTCTATCTGTGTGTCTCCGTGTCTGTGTTTTGTCTCTCTCTCAAATTTACTTCTACCTGATAATGGTTGCTTGTGTTGCAATCGAAACGTCGTATTCTATTATTTGTGATTGACATGGCACTTGGAGTTATTCATCTAGTTAATCTAAGCAGTGGATTGACAAAGATCTGTAATTCCAGTATTTTTAAACGGGACGTACAGTATTGAATAAGAAACAACAAATTTGATTTTGGCGGATTGGGAAGTGTGGGAAGGTGGTGACATTTATATCAACTCCCACTTATTTTATCTGCAAGCAACAACAGCAATGAAAAAAAACACGTTATGTATTAATAAAACATCTTCACAGAACTTTGCCCAAAAGGGCAGCAGTAGTTGTTTGTGGAATTAATGGTTGCTAGGCCGAGAAAAGGCACTGCCTTCCAAGGCCCTTAGCTTTGCTGTGTGAGTTAATGTGCCTCATGTCCCCATTATAACCTGCAATTTAAAAGTGACTGACAGAGTGTGCTCGGGTGCTCTGCTATAATTAGAAAGTGCGGTAATTATAGAGCGCATCTTCTTCTTTTGTCAGAAGGCCGTGTAAAATACGACATTAAGTATAATCATCATCATCACCATCACCATTGGCCATTATCAATCAATCCATTGGCCAGTATCAATCCATGACCATCTCTCACAATCCTGCGTTGTAAATAATCCACTGAATGCCCAT